TCCTCTGATATCCCTGTCCGTACTCCTCTGATAGCCCTGTACTCCTCTGATAGCCCTGTACTCCTCTGATAGCCCTGTACTCCTCTGATAGCCCTGTACTCCTCTGATACTTCAGTAACAAGCCAGTTGTCTAACCAACATTGTTATCGGGTTTTGAATGGGGATCCGGGGAGGCAAACCTCCCCCCCGCTCACTTCTGACATCTCCTGCTTTCAGTGGGCCCTGTCAGTTTTGTGAAGCCGGATTGAGTCCTGGCTGTTGTTGGACGGGTTCAGATGAGTGGTGAGCTTCTTCTTGCAGACACAGCTCACCACGTTGTACTTCCTCAGCAGCTTGAAATGATTTCCTGCACGAATGACAAGCTTTATTCATCTTTAAGGCCCTTTCACACCATTGCTTTGTACTGTAATAAAATGTGTGTTCACATCACCCCAAAACCGCGTTAAAATAGTTTTTCACAGAGTGCAACACAGTGCGTTGTGTTGGGGTACAGTGTGTTGTGTTGGGGTACAGTGCGTTGTGTTAGGTCCCGTTCACATTGAGCGATTTATCGCGCGGTAATTCCCGCGATATCGAGGCTATTTACCACGCGATATCGCTCTCCAATGCTTGGCAATGGGGCAAAGGGTCCTGCTGTCGCGGGTCGTGTGTCGCTACAGCAGGACCCTTTTTGGAGCGGATTTTGCCGTGATACCAGCTTGCTCAATGCAAGCATTTGCGCGATATCGCGCGACAAATCGTGCGATATCGCGCAAAATGTAAATCGCGCGCCAAATGCACGATTTGCGAATCGCGCAGTGTGAATGGGGCCTTAGGGTTCAGTGTGTTGTGTTAGGGTACATCTCATCTGGAAGTAAACTCAGAAATCTGAAAAGTAAAACGACCCGCGAATGTTACACTTGGTGAAAAAAAATGTGTCCCGGTACTTTGTTTTCTTCAACAAGTGATTAGCAGGGGGTCCCCAGTACAATGTTGTGTTGAATCGAATGTATTACACAAGCTCCAGAGAACACGGACCTCTCTACATCTGTACAGAGAACACGGACCTCTCTACATCTGTACAGGGAACACGGACCTCTCTACATCTGTACAGAGAACACGGACCTCTCTACATCTGTACAGGGAACACGGACCTCTCTACATCTGTACAGGGAAGCCTGACCTCACTACATCTGCACAGAGAAGCCATACCCCACTACATCTGCACAGGGAAACCTGACCTCACTACATCTGTACAGGGAAGCCTGACCTCACTACATCTGTACAGAGAAGCCTGACCTCTCTACATCTGTACAGGGAAGCCTGACCTCTCTACATCTGTACAGAGAAGCTGTACCCCACTACATCTGTACAGAGAAGCTATACCCCACTACATCTGTACAGAGAAGCTATACCCCACTACATCTGTACAGGGAAGCCTGACCTCACTACATCTGTACAGGGAACACGGACCTCTCTACATCTGTACAGAGAAGCTATACCCCACTACATCTGTACAGGGAAGCCTGACCTCACTACATCTGTACAGGGAACACGGACCTCTCTACATCTGTACAGAGAAGCTATACCCCACTACATCTGTACAGGGAAGCCTGACCTCACTACATCTTTACAGGGAAGCCTATTGATATATTGCAGCTTACTAATTTTTAGATGTAATGGCTGCATTATGTTTCACTTTTCGGCCTAAGAACATTGTCAGCAAGTGTAGAATATATCTGTTGATTTTGCCAGAAATGCAATGTCCTTGTCACTTCCTACGTGCTTAAAAGCAAGCACAAAGAACCTTATCTATATTGTGTAAACTACTAGTGACATCCATCTACCACATAATGGAGATGTCAAAGGCAGACACCTGTATGATATCCATGGCTAGCCTCCATAGATACAGTGGAGAAGAAAGTGTAGGCATGAAGGACAGAAAGTGTTACAGGCAGGATCATGAGGTGAAAGGAAATAAAGCCAGAGAAAAGGAAACTAATGCAGCCACCACAAATCAATGGACTGGTAAGCTACAATATATGTTTTTTGATACAATACATGTTTTTTTGGGTTCAAACACAATGTATAACTACCAGACAAAGCAAGCAGTGTTAGGTAACATCATGGTCAAATAATCCTGTCCCTGGGTAGCTTAGTCTCACCTGATATTTGGCTATCGTGATGAACTTTAGCTGTTTCCTTTGACGTGATCCACTGGCACATATTACAAAAGGAACACCTTTTCTGTGCCTGCCAAATGTGGACTCATTCCCTTGGCGTGTTCTCTGTCTGCTATTTTATGAAGTTCTAGCCCAGAACTGGCCAGTGTCACCCCTGGACAGACAGGAGATCATGGCATTACCCTAGACAGAAATTATTGTGAATCGGGCAGACAGACAGACTTACTCTCTGGATATTTCATGCAGGAAAGTCTGACAGACACGGTAAAGGATACCATTTTTTTTATTGCGTCTTAAAGGGAAGTGGTTGTGTGCTCACTGTGTGTACCTAAAAGTCATTTCCTTTTGAAAAGTCTCTAGATTTATTATCCAGCATTGGCAGCTTATAGCATGATTACAGAGAGAACATGAATGCCATGTGAACAAAGTTTAAGCTGTCTGAAAAAAAAGAATACAGCTAAAGCGAACAAAACCGTTTCCATCTTTGCTCTACATTTGGCATCAAAACTTCAAAAACAAAAAGGACTGCAGTCATTCTAGTTATAAGGACCTCAGTGGGCAGGTCCATTGGACTGCCATTTTTCTGCGGTTTTGCGGACGAAAAGCCGTGCCTCCGATGTGGAAACAAGGCTAAGCCACTCAACTAAGCATGAAAACATAGGAACTGAGGTGCAGAAAAATGGCAGCAGGTGCTCTGGACTGATGAGTCAAAATCTGAAATATGTGGCTGGAGCAGGAGGCAGTTTGTTCGGTGAAGGGCCGGAGAGCGGTACAACAATGAGTGTCTGCAGGTTTGGCCCTCACAGAGCCCTGATCTCACCATCATGGAGTCTGTCTGGGATTAAATGAAGAGGCAGAAGGATT